TCTGATGAGAGTAAGGTTCAAACAATGCTCCCCCCCCTTTCCCTCTGCTGTAATAGGATTTTGTGTCTTTTCCTGTAATGTAATTTACCCTTGTCTGCCTCCTCCTTTTCAGTACCTTTTCTAAGATTAGATTGATCCACTTATTTGGATCCATTTAACTTGATTAGATTTTTTTTTATCATTACATCAAAGTCAACTAATATCCACCCTCTTTATGTATACTCCTTTAACAAGGTGTAATAACAATACAGTTCTCAAGGGTTGCAAGTCTCATATTCCCTTGTAGGGGTTTAAACAGCCCCCCCCTTATTAACATATTGTATCCTTCTGTCCCATTTACCTTTTTAAGTCCTTCTTGAGTCCTGTACTTGAAGATCAAATTTTTTGTTGAGCTCTGGTCTTTTTATCAGGAAAGTTTGGAAGTCTCCTATTTCATTGAATATCCACCTCCTCCCTTGAAAAATGATGCTCATTTTTGCTGGGTAATTAATCCTTGGCTGCATTCCAAGCTCCTTTGCCTTAGGAATATCATGTTCCATGCCCTGCGGTCTTTTAATGTAGAAGCTGCAAGGTCCTGTGTAATCCTGACTGTGGTTCCATGATATTTAAATTGTTTCTTTCTGGCTGCTTGCAGCACCTTCTCTTTCATCTGGTAATTTTGGAATTTTGCTATTATATTTCTTGGTTGTCAATTTGGGATCTCTTTCAGGTGGTGATCGGTGGATTCTTTCTATGGTTATTTTCCCTTCTGGTTCTAGGACTTCTGGGCAGTTTTCCTTTATGATTTCCTGAAAGATACTGTCCAGGCTCTTTTTTTCATCATGATTTTCAGGTAGTCCAATAATTTTTAAATTGTCTCTCCTGAGTCGATTTTCCAGGTCGGTTGTTTTACTGATGAGGTATTTTACATTTTCATCGATTTTTTCATTTTTTTGTTTCTGTTTGACTGATTCTTGCTCTCTCATAGAGACATTAGTTTCCATTTGTCCAATTCTAGTTTTTAACAGATTGTTTTCTTCTGTTAGTTTTTGTACTTCCTTCTTCAACTGGCCAATTGTGTTTTTTAGGGACTTGTTTCCTTCAGCATACTCTTCTGTTAGATTTTGTACTTCCTTCTTCAACTGGCCAATTGTGTTTTTTAGGGACTTGTTTTCTTCAGTGTACTCTTCTGTTAGTTTTTGTCCTTCCTTCTTCAATTGGCCAATTGTGTTTTTTAGGGACTTGTTTTCTTCAGTGTATTTTTTTTCCAACTGGCCAATTGTATTTTTGAAGGACTCTTTTACCTCTCTCATTTGACTATTAAAATCCTTCTTGAGCTCTTCTAAGAAGGCTTTTTGGGCTTCAGACCAGTTCATATTCCCTTTTGTTGTTGCAGATGTGGGTTTGTTGACAATGTTGTCCTCTTCAGAATTTCTGTCTTGATCTTCACTCTTCTCATAATATGAATCTATGGTACGTTTCTTTTTACTCATGGTGTTTCTTATTCCCTGGCCTTTAAAGAGATTGAGCTCTCCTGCTGGGGAACAGAGGGTACTGACCCAAGCTTCTTGTGTTGGGAGCCTAGGTCTTGGTCACTGGCTTTGCGTTCTGGGGCCTCTTATGCTGGGAATTGGAGGCTGTAGGTTTCTGGCAGGTTACCTTGTGTTGGGCTGGAATCAGCAAGGCTGGAACTTTCAGGCAATTCTAGGTTGCCTGCTTTTCCTTTCCTTTAGCTTTCTTCTGCTCCTTTTAGATGGCTGCTGCAGGATGTTTATCTGCCTGGGGCCCCCTGCAGTGTTGTCTCCCTCGTTCTGCTAATGGGAGATTCCTTTGCAGTGGAGTGCCAGGCTCCTGGTGGTTTTCTGAGCTGGTTTCCACCGGTTCCCCTGCCCTCACTGAGGCACTCGAGGTCCAGGTGTTGGTGTTTGCCTGCTCTACCACCTGGGCTTCAGGATTTCTTCACAATTGGGGGCTTCAGGGCTCCTACAGCTCACCTGGTGTTGGGTTGGTATCAGCAAGACCGGGGCTTTAGGAAGCCTTTAGGTTGTTTTCTTCACCTTCTTTCAGATGAATGCCACAGGGTACTTATCTGCCTGGGACCCCTTGTTTTTGCTGAGGCACTGAGAGATCCATTTGCTGAGCTACTGCACTGCTGCTCCTTGTCTTTCTTATAGTTCAGGTGTTCCAGGGTTTTTTGTTTATTTTTTTTTCCTGGGCTGATATTTTCTTGGTTTGCAGAGGTTGATAGGGGAGAGTGAGAACGACTACCTTTTCACTCCGCCATCTTGGCTCACCGAAGCCGGAAATAGAAATAATCTACCAGTTAGTGATTGTAACACATCTCAAAATGAAAATTCCCAATAAAAATAAACCCAAAATTCAGAGCTTCTGGGTAAAAAGAAAAAGCCAGAAATCAACCAGAAAGAAAGAACTCATGTACAGAGAAGCCTCCCTTGTGGCTACACATGAGTTATCAGCCATCACTTCAAAGCAGCAGATAGCTTAAAATACAGTAATCTCAATGATAAAAGATACATGCTTATAACCAAGAATGATTTGCCCCCTGCCCTGCCTATGATCATTCTCTTCAATTTGCCCTGAAATCTGTCCTCTGGGTCTGTGTCCTCCTACTCTTCCGGGTTTGCCCCTAGGAGCTCTGATTTCTCTTTTCCTGAGAAACGCTCTGTTCACTGGGGCATAATATTCACTTAGAGGTCTGTAGGTACCAAATCCCTTCAGATTTTGCCTATTTATTATAACTTTTTCCCTTGTGAGAGTACACTTGTGGGAAACCTACTCCCACTACTGAACAGAAATTTCTGCCTTTGATTCCTCATCTCAGTTTCTCCCTTTGTGACCTAATCAATTCTCCTGTATCTTCTTTTCTTCCTTGGAGACTAAAAGAGCTAATTTCCTTTCTTTCTTTACCACTGACTTGGGTTGCATCACATTTTTCTCTATCTTTTTCCTCCCCTCTTCACTTTTATGTACCCTCTAATTCTACAGTTTAGTCCTATGGAAAAAAAAATATTGATTTATCTGCAGTGATGGGACAGATGAAAGGGGAAGAGAGCTGTAACATGTAGCCCATGATGTTTTAGGGCTGTTTCCTCTATTGTCACTTCAATTTAAGTATTGCTTTCATCTTCATCTCCTTGTACACTTTTAGAAAGAAATACCTTAATGGGTCCTCAGTTGTTATGCTGTTGTTATTTGTTTATAACCCCATCCATAATTGTCACTTTTCTTCAGTTTTTTTTAATAGTATTTATACATAGAATAATTTATTACATTATTTGTGCTTTCCTTGGTAGCTATATTTATCAAACTTTCTGTTATTTGGGGTTTTTGCAAAGAGAATAATATGCTTGTTTCTCAGGGTTTGTTTTTGAAGTAGAGATGCCTCAAATGCCTGTTATTTTATTGAATAGCCACATTTTTTTCATTGATTGAACTCAAGGTTGCAAGATGTTTCACCTTGGGTAATATCTTGACCTCCTTTATATTTGGTACACATGTTTCCATTCCCTTCTGGATTTTCTAGTGGAATATGGAATAATCTTGTGCTGTTTTAATTTTCTTTCCTTGATGTTTGACTAACCTTTTAGTTCTTTTCAAAATTTGTTGTTTTTTGTGAGAATTAATGAATTTAACCAGTATGGGATTGGATTGCTGGGACAATTTTGTTTTCAAAGACTCATGTGATACCCCTGAGTAATTTGTGTAGGGATAGAACTCTCTTCAGCTTCAAGCCAGTTCTTTTTCCTCCAGGCCTTGTGAAGCCCTGCCACACAAGCTGATGTTCTTTAATCAGCTTGTCAGTCATTTAATAACCACCATTAAGTGCCTACTGTTTACCAGGCACTATGCTAAGTTGTATAAACAGTTTTCTCTGTTAGCTTAGTTCTCTAAGATCACACTGCCACTCCAAGCAAAGCATACTTCTGCTTTCCTGCATCTTTCTGCATCTGCATTGTGACAGGGTTGTGTAGGAGAGATGATGGTGGTGGTCACATTTGGGGTCACAGTTGAATTTAGAGGCAAGATGTCTTGGCCAAGACTACAACGGTTTCAAATGGCTAAATGCCTGGCAATGGCTGCAGATTGGTTTGCATCACCCTGCTGCAGGATGGGGTTTAGTGGAGGAGGGGGTGCTGAGTGGGAGCCGTAGGAATTAGGGATTAGACTTCTCTGCTGTTCATGATCAGTTTCTTAACTTGTTAGGGTTCTTGGTGTCTTGGGCTTCAGAGACAGCTACAATCACTTTACCATGTGTGGATAATTCTTATTTGGGGGAGTTTTGAGAGCCCCTAAGGACTCAAGAATATGTGGCTACAAAACATTTTTCCCATAAACCTAGGGGCACACTTTCCCACAAGTATATCTAGCATTTGTGGGAAGAGTTTTAAGTATGATGATTGTGAGGTAGAAACATAGGAAATAGATGTGGCTGAGGTAACTCATGACTGCAGGGTAGAGTCCTCATAAAGCTCCTCCCTGGGTTCGACATATCTACCGGGTGCCTTTCTTGGCTGGGATACCAGCTGCTTTTCCTCTCTCTAACTTAACTGCAAAAATTAGCCCTTTCTTATTTTTATAGCTAGCTCTCTTTTCTGATACCCAAGGCCCCTCCTTTTTAAAGTTGCTTTGTCCCTTGAGAAACTGTCTCTCTATCCATGTCCTTCTTTTTGACTTGAATTATTTTGAACTAATTCTTCCACTACTGTATGGAAAGTCTCCATCTGGACTACCAACTCTGGTGATTATAACTGAAGCCAATAGTCCAGCAGTGGGATAAAGAGAAAAAATCCCTCCTTTCCACTGCTGGGATCTACTGCAAAGGCTGTTCCTCTCTTGCCATATCTTGAACTTTCAAGCTATCTTTCAAGGATCACTCTTAGGAACATGGCCATCTTCCACCAGCTAATCCTGGATGCCTCCTCTGACTTAAGTAGAGAAAGGTGTTCAAATTTAATGAAAAGGGAACTTTAGTTGTTAACCCTTTGTTACTCTATCAACAGCTGTTGTCTGTGAGTACATCCTGAAGAGATATCAACCATTGGAGTTTGGGAACTGAATTACCTACTTCCCTTATACACCGGTGTCTCCTAAGGTACAAATCATGTCCTTTCCCCTGTCAACCTTTCTATCAATTTATGACTAACAATCTCCTCTAAACTACTCTTGTTCTGTCATAATTTTGATGCTTTCAAAGTAATAAAATAAGACAAAATGCTAGCTTATCTTTGAGTAAAAACCAAATGGGTAATTCTGGGTAAGTAGCGAGCCAGGCAGGGTTCTGGAGATTTTTTTTTAATATCTATTCACTTGAAAATATGCTTAGGTTTCACTCAACTGTTTGATCTCATGAGGTTTTCTCATTGCCATTTATTTATGTTTTTCTCCTCACTTTGTATCATGTCAATATCACCTTTGACCAGAAAGGCATCATTCTGCCCTCTAATACTCAACACACTTTATTTTGTTGAAAACTGGAGCTGGCTGTTCTGAAGAGAAACAGAATAAAGCTGTTCTCCCCTTCAGCCTAAAATTAATCCCAACAGAGGGGTTTAAAGTTTCTGCAGACCTGGGATGGAAAAAAGGGAAATGGAAACCCAATGTCCAATTTGATTTCCTGATGTTTGTTAATGCCACTGGTTGGTTTCAAGGGTTTTGCATATGTGATTCCCATCTAAGACTTACCTTAGATTAAACAACATGAACTTGTCATATGAGAAAGTATACAGGATGCTCCAATCTGGCCAATCTTTTTCTTTACACTGCAATGTAAGGAGGGTAGAAAGGAGGACCCAAAGGACTATGAACTCCCTGAAATAGAAGCAACTCACCATCTAAGGAGTAATTGAGTGTGAAGTGTCTTTTAAATGTGCTTCCAAAAAAGGAGGAAAAGAATATCCATGAAACATTTAAAAATAAATGGAACAGGGTAGAGGGAAGTGTAGATGGAGACATAGACAAGCAGGACAAATTATTGTTTTATATTTAATACATGCTGGGAAAAATTATGGAAAAGAATTCAGATTCAGATTCAATCTCTTGTTCTTTATGTATTCAAATGTTCAAATTTATTGATATTTAAGTTCAACATGAAAAAAAATTTTAAAAAAAGAAATTTAAGAGAAATTTTAAAAATCTTGCCAGACTCTGGGAAGACTGGCCCTCAGTTCAACATAGATGTACATACACAAAACGCATAAATATATATATATATATGTATATATCTTCATATATACACACATACAGATGCCCTTATCTATATATCTGTGTGCGTATATGTATTATACATATACATATGCATGTGTATATATGTATATTATACAGATGTGCATATATACAATATGCATCAGATGCTTTGATATTTGTAAATTGACAATTTGCAAAGTGAATGAGAAAAAACGTTATCAAATATCAGAGTATAAACATGTGACTGAACAGTAAACATGCACCTTATTGCAGAAGAGGCATGGCCAAAATGATGAAGCATTTTAAAAGTTTTTTCAATTTTAAGAAATCACTTTTAAGAATGAGTGGATTTCCCAAGGATCCCCATGACCCTGCTAATACACAATCCATTGGGAATCTCCTCTTTGGAATCCCTTCCTCAGTCTGCAGAATTGATGATATGACCTCCTGAGAGTTGCAGAGTGCTTTTCTCATTTGCTCCTCACACATCTCCTCAAGGAGTGATGCATTTTTATCTGCTCTAGACCCAATGCTGCTGAAAGAATACATGTGAGAGGAAAACCCAGATGCTGCTAGAGGCATGGAAAGCTCTCCAGGTAGCCGGGAAGGGTTGCAGTGCACCATAATTTGACAGCTTAGGGGAGTGGAGGCAGCAGCAGGCAGAGGCATCAGAATGCAGAGGGAGGAGTGTTGGTGGACATTACAATGACTGTGGAACCTGGCCTGGATGAAATAAGCACCAGACTTCCTGGGCAGCCAGGCTTTTTGCTCCTCTGGGTGCAAGATGATGCTTTCGAGGTCCCCTTCTCTTCTGAGGATTCATGTAGGTTTCAGGAAGCACCCCCTGCTCAGCCACTGGCACAGATTTGGGAACGTGCAACATTTCAAACTCATGAAGCTTCCTCCATGGATCAAACTATCCATATTGTGGTATTGCTGATCAGTGATGAGCGTTTGAGAAAGAAAAGGAAAACTCAGTAGACAGTCAGGGACTTGAAGTCCAGGCTGAGGCTCACCTCATGTTCTTGCTGCTATGTGCTGAAATGATATCACCCATTGTTAATTGTTGCTATGCTAGTAACAGGTGTGTGTATGTGTGTGTGTGTGTGTGTGTGTGTGTGTGTGTGTGAGTGTGTGTGTGTGTGTGTGAGTGTATGAGTGGGTGTGGGTGTGTGTGAGTGTGAGTGCGTGTATGGTGGGAGAATTCACCTTCTCCGACCCCTCCAATATTAAGGGAAAGCTGTGAATAGATCTTTCCCAAGAGAGGCATAGATCTTTTCTGTCCCTCCCCAGTCACCTCAACCCAACTCCCAGTCACAGGAACCAGCAGAAGGAGTTGTGTAATCCCAAAGGAGGGCACATGACCCTCAGCAAGAGTCCAGTTTTTGTGTCCCATAGAAAAGGGCCAATGAGATGTCCATGACCACAGATAACCTCGTCAAAATGAGTGAGCAGATAAACGCTATTTTCGGCTATTTGTGTTTGACTGTGTCTGAGCGTACCACTCTGCTGAGCAGGAAGTCTGATGCTTCTTATTGTTTCTAGGATCAAATGCAAGCCCCTCTCTTTTGGCATTTATAGCCTTTCACAATCTGGCTCTGGCTGACCTTTCCAGTCTGATTGAACCTTCCTTTCTTTCACATTTTATGTTCCCCCCTTTTTCCTCTTGCCTGGGTGATTTATGACCAATTCAAACCATCTCTACACTGGCTTGCTCCATACAACCAGAGGGTTCTTCATTCTCGCAATGAGTGCTAGGAGGCTAGGCCTCAGGTTGTATGTGGTAGATATAGATATAACGCATTCTTGGTGGTCTCTACTCAAAAAATAATTACATCACCAAGAGCAAATCCCAAGATTTAAACACCAATCAAATGCTGAAGGGAACAGACAAATTATGGGGTATAATACAAGCAGATCAATGGCATGGTGGATAGAGCGCTGGGCCTGGAGTCAGGAAAATTTGAGTTCAAATCTAAGCCCCAGGTACTCGCTTTGTGATCTTGGACAGTTCACTTAAACTCCTGCCTTAGTTTGCTTACCTGTAAGATGAGAAAATAACATTACCTTCCTGCCAGGGTTATCATGAGAATAAAATGAGATAATGTTCATGAAGTGCTTTGAGAACCTTAAAGCATTATATAAATGCTAGTTAATATACTTTTTAAAAAAAATTCCTAATAATCACTAGCTCTTTGGGTTTTTTTAATAGACCATTTCCTTTCTCTCAAAGGTCTGACTATTGGAATCATGAAAATATCAGCACAAATATGCCAATTCTGTTACTTGGTGTCTTTAGAAAACATAATTGAGACATTTCAGTGTCCTAACAAAGTAGCTTTTTATTGTCATTTTTTCTGTTTGTTGTGAAATTACATCACTTCCAACTGTCAGCTGTCCCTGGCCATTTTTAAAGAATTTCCAGATGATAGAACATCTGGACACATTATAGGTGTCTTTAATATTAATGACAATTTTTTAATTCAAATAATTCTAGTTTGGAAATGAATTACGTAAGGTGGCAGTTTCAAACATGCTCAACTCATTTATAATATTCATATATATTATAACTGATGAGTCACTGAGGCAAAGTAGAGAGGGCCACAAAAGATCTCACTAAGATTTAATGAAAATGATCTTGTAGTTCATTTTCTTAAGAACAGTAAGACATATATTCCCCCACACTTTAAAACAACCAGAAGAAAGATGGTCAATCTTTCTTGTTTTATGTAACCTATAGAATCGCATGTGATTGTGTTATAAAAATAGGAGGAGATAGAATTGGGAGACCCAAGTTCCAGGTTCTACTCTGAAATGCCATTAATTCAAGAAATATTTATTTACCACTTCCTATCTGCAGAGCACTCTGCTAGGTAAAGACCCCGCCATAATGGAATTTACAGAATGATAATAAAAACATAGATATTTATGGAAATACCTGCCAGCTGTGTATGTGCACACAAATCCCTGAGTCTTAAGTTTTCCATCAGTAAAATAAGTGCAATACTTTGATTGTTCATTGCTATTATGAGAACCATACATCTTCTGTAAGTAGAAGTTGTTCTCAATTATTATTAATATTGTTACTACTACAACTGAACTTGCATTCTTTTCAGATAAAGTTATCTACTTTTCTTTATGTTTAACAACCTATGATCAATTTCATAAGAGAACAAAATAACCAGTTTTTCTGGTCCAGAAAATATGTCAGGATATACATTCATGCTCTATGGGGTCACTCAGTACAATACAGTAGCAGACAGAACCCAGGAGTGATATGGGCCTCATATTATTTCCATATGATTTTGTCCTCCTCAGCCAATACTTTGAAAACACTTTGTTCCATAAAAATTGAAGATTAAGAGTATTTGAGAAGGCAAAATCTATTAAAAATATTGTCCTCAAGTTTTTTATGAGTAAGTGATGAGTAGGGGCAACTATGAGCAATGGTTTAATCATTGATGATGGGCTGGATTTAGAACAATCTGTTGGCTGAGTTTGCCAGGATATTCTGAGATCTCTATTTGTAATGTATGGATTTGCTGTGACTACCGGGTCACATCTTGATGGAGATTTCATAGGTGCTAAAGTTTTATAGCACTTAGTGATATGCTTTACTTACAGCTACAATTTCCTTACATCATTTACACCAGTTGCTCAGTATGGACTCCTTAGGGATAAGCTCTTTGACTTTTGCTAGTAGTGACCTGCTCCTGAACCACGAATATAAATCCATTCATTTCCATGAACCAATGCATATGCCAGCCATTTGTAGGAAGTTTTCTTATCAACTTCTGGTGGAGTGAGTTCATGAAAATTTCATTCATATAAGGCCCATTGATCCCACTCTTGAGTTGTAGTTGTCCCACAGTCTTCTTCTGGAGGTCAGCTGTTTTTGGTTGCATTGGA